GATTGCATGTGTTGATTGTTTGTTGATTAAGTGTGTGTGTGTGTGTGAGTGAGAGAGAGGAGGAACATAAAATATCTGCTTTATGATTGGCTGGATCACCTGTCAATCAAACAGCTGTGAAGGGTCACCTGAAGCCTAGATGTATTCGTAATGAAGTGACTGACTGTCTGCAGATTGCGTGGGGAGCGTGTGCTCTGGTGCTGACGGGAAACATCGTGATCTTCGCCACCATCCTGGGCTTCTTCCTGGTGTTCGGCTCCAATGACGACTTCAGCTGGCAGCAGTGGTGAAGCAGACCGACTCTCTCCATCTTTATTTATACCCGCCGCCATCCATACATGCAGGAATCAGTGCAATAATTCTGTTAGACGCGTCTGCTCTGTCGCTTTCCTTTCTCGCGCTCCATGAGTTCAGGTGGTCGAGCGAAAACACTGGCCGAAACATGAACGCTGTCATCTTCAGAGTCTGACTTCAGTCTGTTACTGCTTTGCTTTTTATTCTGGGTTTATTTATTTGTTACATTTCTGTTCTGTTATATTAAACATTGTAAGATGAAGGTTATTATTATGATTGATTTCAGCGTTGTGTTGATTTTTATTTTTATAGTGATGCAGAATTTCCAGCCTGGTCTCACGAGGAAACGGAACTATATTACGTGTTGTCAGAAATGTGGCCAATTTGTTTAAAGTAATATTCAAATTCATATATACGAATATAATGATATTGGTATACAAACGTGCGGTTTATAAACAGCACAGACGTGGCTAATTCATACAAATTCCATGCGATTATGTTGGTCTGAAAACATACGATTTATAAAAGGAGGCGTGGCATTAAATGTGGCTAATTCATAAAATTTCCATACTATTATATTAGTATTAAAAAAGGCTATTTATAAAAGGAGGTGTGGTTAATTTGTACAAACTCCATATAATTATATTGGTATTAAAACATACGATTTTTAAAAAGAGGTGTGGCACCAATTGTGGCCAATTTGTATAAATTACATACGATTATATTGGTATAAAAATAAACAATTTATAAAGGGAGGTGTGGCACCAAACGTGGCTAATTCATACAAATTCCATATGATTATATTCATATAAATGTATACAATTTATAAAATGCGTGGCCCCAAACAAAGCTAATTTATATAAATTCCATACAATTATATTAGTATAAAAATGAGCAATTTTTAAAATGAGGCGTGGCATTAAACGTGGCTAATTCATACAAATTCCATATGATAATACTGGTATAAAAACGTTCAGTTTATAAAAGGAGGCATGGCACCAAACTTAGCTATTTAGTACAAATTCCTTATGATTTGCATTGTGTTCGATGTATAAAATGTGTGGCACCAAACATGGCTAATTCGTACAAATTCCATACGATTGTATTGGTATTAAAACATACTATTTATAAAATGAGGCTTGGCTAATTCGTACAAATTGCGTGCTATTATACTGGTAAAAAAATTACAGTTTATTAAAGGAGGCTAACTCGTGGCTAATTTGTACAATTTCCGTATGATTATATTAGTATAAAAACATACATTTTTAAAAAAGATGAGACACCAAACCCCACCCCTTAACCTAGCCCTCATTGGGGGATGAGCAAATCATATTAAAATGTACGAATGAGATCCTACAAATGAACGAATTAGCCACTAAATTAAAGAAGTTACGAATTGTCGTGAGACTGGAAATTTTCCAGAAACCATTTCTTTGACTGTTAGTAAGAGCAGAAAAAGACGTATGAAGTATGTAGGCTAGCTCCTGATCATCATTTAAGGTGATATTATTAATAAACACCAGTTTCTTTAAATCTCTCCGCAACTAATCATGACGCAGTTGGTCTGACTGTTTAAAGTCGACATGAAAGCGGTTTTCAATGATTCATCAGTGCATATTGTTTAATATCCACCCTAGAGTTGGCCTTCATGTTGTGTGCTATATTTTGAAGTGTTTCCATACATGCAGTCAATGCTAAAGTCAAGTCCCGTCATTCACTGGTGTGATGTTGAAGATCACACAGACTCCTCATATACAGGTGGAATGGGTTATCAGGCTGTTTCATGCGGACTTTAACGCTTCTGTTATTTTATATCTCTGTCAGTGCAGAAACCGCACTAGTAACATTGTTTCCTCCTTATCATTCTTTTTTTAAAAATAAATACCATTTTTGAAAAAAAAAGTTGTTTTATATGAGTTTGAATTGTTTTTCAAGTCTCCCACATGAAAAAATACTATAGTAAGTTACAGTAAATAGCAATTTTAACCCAATTAATCTACTGTGGTGATTCTACAGTTGCTATGGTAACAACATCTGTATAGTAACTAATCTGTCGAGGTGGTTCTACTATCGCTATGGTAACAACATCTATAGTAACTAATCTGTTGAGGTGGCTCTACAGTTGCTATGGTAACAACGTTTATAGAGTAACTAATCTGGTGCGGTGGTTCTACTGTCGCCTTTGTAACAACTTCTGTATAGTAACTAATCTGTCTAGGTGGTTCTATTGTTGCTATAGTAACAACATCTTATAGTAACTTATCTGTTGAGATAGTTCTGCTGTGGCTATGGTAACAACATCTGTATAGTAATCTGTTGAGGTGATTCTACAGTTGCTATGGTAACAACATCTGTATAGTAACTTATCAGTCGAGGTAGTTCTGCTGTTGTTATAGTAACAACATCTGTAATCAATCTATCGAGGTGATTCTACAGTTGCTATGGTAACAACATCTGTATGGTAACTTACTTGTCGAGGTGGTTCTGCTGTTACTACGGTAACAACATCTACATAGTAATTAATTTGTCGAGGTGATTCTACAGTTTCTATGGTAACAACACCTATATAGTAATTAATCTGTCGAGTTGGCTCTACAGTTGCTATGGAAACAACATCTGGATAGTAACGAATCTGTCGAGGTGGTTCTGCTGTTACTATGGTAACAACACCTATAGTAATTAATCTATCGAGGTGGCTCTACAGTTGCTATGGTAACATCTACAGTAATTCATCTGTTGTCGTGATTCTACAGTTGCTATGGTAACATAATACAGTAGTATAAACAAATGACTCAATAGTGTAGTTTTCCATAAGTATAAGGTATAATATAATATAATACAGGCGGAGTAATATGGAGTAATGATTGTGAGTGAAGGCGTCCAGCAGCTGCTCTTACTATGTGTGGAATGAAGGAGAGGCTGAAACATGCCTGCATACACACACACACACACACACACACACCTGGTGGATGTACAGCACCTTCAAATATTCAAATCAGCATGGATTGAGAAATTACACTGCAAACAAAGCTTTCTGTCTAGATTCTACTCCACATATCTGAAAATACTGAAAATCAGTCAGCATTTTCTAGACGAGCACTATCTAGTGTTTTCAGAAATAACGAGTCTAATATGAAGAGAGTTTCTCCATAAAACGTGCAGAATAATCCTGTTTTGGTTTTGACATCAGATTATTTTGTTTATCCCCTTGGCAGATTGTTTTTCTTGTTTAAGGTAAAACTCTTTATTTTGACTCATTATTTTGTCTATAATCTAAAGAGAAATCACCACAAACCTTTCACACAGTTAAAGCTTTCGCAACAAACCAAGAAGCTCTAACAAAAGAGCATCCCCAAAATAAACGCTGGTCAGTGTAATATGAGCAGGTCGAGGTGTGTGTGTGTGTGTGTGTGTGTGTGTGTGTGTGTGTGCTTGTGTGTGTTTCTGTATATTCGGCGTTTCTTCGCTCTGCAGCGCGACGCGTCCTTCATCTTCATCCTCCTCGTGTTTCAGTAGTGAGCGCTCTGACTGGAGGTGATGAGGAGGTTTTTCAGGGTGGACAGAGATGAAGATTTCGGCCAGATTCAGTATCTCACCGCTAAATGCATCCGACTGTCTCAGGAGAAAGGTAAGAGTCCGTTTCCACAGGACAAACTATCGGGAAAGCTTAAGAAAATCCTATTTCACACTTTCAAGAATGCGTCAAGACTTTGAATCTGAATCTACTGTGACAAAAAGACCGCAAAAACACCGAACATATACGCACTTTTTGATGATTTGTGTATTTATACTGTGAATTCTTGCATTTCTAATACGTGTTTCATCATTAATAGTCATTTTGAATGAATATTTTACATGTTAATCTGTAGTTTATGTATGGTTTTATGTAGTTATTTTCTTCTCTCTTCCTCCAATGTGCTCACTATCGCGGAGTTGTTTGACATTCTCGACTTCTGCCTCTTTTTTTGTTGTTGTTCTCTAAATGTTAATAAAAAATAGAACAACATCTAGCGCAGATCCTCCATGCTGACTGAAATATTCCTCCTGGACATGTTTTATACCGTTTCTCAGTTGAATAAACATCATCAGCGCATCGAAACAGAAAACGCTCCTCATGCGTGTGTAGCTTTTCATGAATTAACGTTTATAGAGCGTTTGTTTAAGGTTGTCTCAATGTTCTTTAAATGTTAACGCTTGTGTGAGCAAGTAAGTGTGTTTACATGTATGTGTGTGTGTTCATGTGTGTGTGTGTGTCACAGCAGTGCTGCAGCAGGAGCTGCTGGTGTCCGCTGAGCGTCAGCAGGCCCTGCAGGCTCAGATGGAGGTTCTGGCGGTGTGTGTGCGTCAGAAAGAGCAGCTGAATGTTGAGCTGAACATCAAATATGAGCAACTTCAGGAGCGCTTCCAGCAGCAACTGGTACACAAAACAACAACACACACATTCATGAGATAGACAGCAGGATAAATCTACAGCAGTGTGCTCCATGACAACATCAGGTTACACACACCTGTTAAGTAGAGCTAAATGGGTGGAGATCTGACTCCTCCTCTCTACATCTAGGGGCGGGGCTGTATATATATAATCATTCATTTTCTTTTGGGCTTACTATTAATCAGAGGTCACCACAGTGGAATGAACCGCCAACTATTCCAGCATATGTTTTACACAGCGGATGCCCTTCCACACACACACACACACCCTTATACACCACAGCCAATTCAGTTGATCAGTTCCCCTATAGCGCATATGTTTGGACTGTGGGGGAAACCGGAGCACCCGGAGGAAACCCACGCCAACACGGGGAGAACATGCAAACTCCACACAGAAACACCCACTGACCCAACTGGGACTCAAACCGGTGACCTTCTTGCTGTGAGACAATCATTTTACCCACTGTGCCGCCATATATATATATATATATATATATATATATATATATATATAAATGTGTGTGTTTGAGTGTGTGTATGTATGTGTTGTTTGTGTGGGGGTGTTATGTGTGTATGTATGTTATGTGTGTGTATAAACATGTATAAATGCGCATGTGTGTGTGTGTGTGTGTGTGTGTGTGTGTGGCAGAGGCAGGCAGATGTCCTCCAGCAGTGTGTGTTGTCGGTGACGGAGGACAGGTGTAGGGATGCGTCTCTTCTGGGTCTGCAGCTGGAGCAGGTGAGCTGTGACCTACAGCAGATGCAGAGTTCAGAGGCGAAGCTGATGGGCCTGGTGGACGAGCTGCACCAGGAGGCCCAGCTCAGAGCACAGCAGGCAGAGGTCCTGCAGGCGCAGCTCCACCAGGAGGCTCAGTCAAAGACGCAGACTATAGAGGAGCTGGAGACGCAGCTGAACAGGTGAGAAAGCAATCTGTAAAGCCAGTTGCTGCATCCCTTAAACGATGAGTTTATTTGTGTTGAACACACGCCCCCTGGTGGTGAAAACCATATTGCGGCTTTAATATCTCACCATCTTGCTCATTTGTGTTAAATTCACACTTAACGTGGAACATCGCATCACTTTCGATAGTAAAGCACGAGAGCTGGCGGAGCTGCAGATTTCCCATGATGCCGTGCTGCAGGATGTGTGTATTCAGCGTGGCGCCCACCAGAGGACACTGGAGGAACTGCGGCGCACGGCGGATCAGTGTGAGTGGGTGTGTGAGCAGCAGCGGCGCTGGATGAGCTGCGTCAGGAGGTCAGAATAACACACACACACACTGATGCTTGTGTTTTTGTATATAATTGTGTGTATGTCTGTGTGTTTTTTCTCTATGTGTGTCTTTGTGTGTGTGTGTGTGTATATATGCATATGTCTGTTTGTGTGTGTGTGCAGGTTTAAGGACTGTCTGTCAGGTGAGAAGGAGTCCCTGGAGCTGCAGGTGAACAGGTTACAGGTGGAGCTGGAGACGGTCAGGAGGAGCGAACACACTGAACACTGCAGCAGGTCTCACACACACACACACACACACACACACACACACACACACACACACACACACACACACACACACACACACACACACACAGAGAGAGACACATAGTTCTTTTAAATGCGCATAAGGACCAAGGTGTGTTAATTTTTTCTTTTATGGTAGACAAGGAAATGTAAATCAGGTGTTTGGGTGTGTGTGTGTCGTGTGTGTGTGTTATGAAGTCAAACCCAGGTGTGTTTCTGACAGGTGGGATGAGGAGCTGCAGACTGAAGCAGAGCGATGGAGAACACTGTATGAGGATCTGCTGAAGCTCACCACACAGCAGGTACATGGAGACACACACAGCACACACACACATGCACACACATACACACACACACACACACACACACACAAACATGGACACATACATTCATACACACACACCTTCTTGACATCTGAGTC